TCTCAAGTTCAAATATAAAAATATGGCCAATTCCTTCCCCATCATTACTAAAAAAAATTCGATTTGGACGAAAGGACAGGAATGTTACCAGTTGTCAAATGGAGAAACACACTGTTTGTCAAATTTTACTTGAGTTTACCAACTGGGCAGTATAAAAATTTGTAGAGCACACAAAACTCTTATTCAATATTGTCCCGGTTAACAACGAAACAGAATAATGAGTACACACCGTCGTACAAAATTCGATCATACGAATTAACAGTTTGATTTACCTTGTGACCCAATCGACACGTCCTGCACGAGTGACAGAAACGTCAAATGTTTGTTCTACTTTCAAATCCTGTTATTTTTTACAAACCGTGCGTAGTACGAATTGAAACGGACATACTATCAATGCTCCTAAGCTATACATAAACGATATACTTCAAGCTGTTCATTTAAGCATTTTAATAATATCGAAAATAATTTTAAAATCGAACAGTACAAAATCTAGAATATAGAACTTAAAATAGAATTCGTCGAATGACATACGTGCAAATAACAGCGCACACGGCTTTAAGACAAATATTGAGTCTAGAAGATAAGACACGTCGTGGGGGTTTGATACATCCATCGTCATTTTTTTTTAAACACCTGCAAAACACGAAGATTTACGCAATTAGTCTATCCCGCACGACACTCATATTGTAGTTGACGAACACAGATAAAATGCAATATCAGTGACTATCGCATCGAAAACACGATGAATCGTCAGGGTATTCTTCCGTACTAAATAAAATTCTTCTTCGAGGGTATAAATACCAAACGCAGCAGAAGGGAAGTTATACTGCGATACGACCTACTGCAGAGCGAATTCGAAGCGGAAGGTAGGAGTTCATTTTCAACTATATGTATAAAATTCTTCTTGTTAACAGTTTAGATATATTCTCATTTCATTCTCTACAGAAAACATTATACATTCGAAATGAAGCTTTTGTTTGGAATTCTGGTTATCTGCATGGCCTTAGCAATGATCATGGCTTGCCAGCCAGCAGGCATGCCGGTGAGTTAACTCTTTAACAAGTACACTCTAATATTATATCAAATTAATTGTACAAATTTCATATTTGCTTTTGTATTACGTCTGGTATCAGATTATAATTAATATCAATTACGTTTACCTTTGGCCGCTCATTAAATTGATAATTACTACGGTTGGTTAATGGTTTTGTAATGTAGTTAGTCCGAAGTTGCATAGAAATCTAACAATTAACTTGAACAATTGTCTAAATGTAAATACCTAATCCGTCGAACGTGCACAATTTAACGGTAACTGTATTCACCAGACGTTTAGCCGAAAAGCAATCAACTCTTGTCCAGCGATTTTTCGAAATTTTTCTGACGCGTTTACCGGTCGCTCCGTACGAACGTTGAATAGCTAATCATTGAGTGTAATTTGCCATAGTGCTCCGCCCATGGAGACTGCTGCAAACCACTCGTGTGCAACCCGTGGGCTCGACGATGCACTAAGGGAGCGGGTGGACCACCGGCTTGGGTAAACGTGAACAAGCCAGGAAATCCAGGAAACCAATAAGTTGACGATTGGCATTAACCTTATTAAACAACATTCTCTAGTACTTCGATTATATCATGATATAAATTTAGTAAATACAATTGGCATATACATTGTTTAATGATTTTAACTCCATTTCGCCTATTCCTCTTCATATACTTCAAAACGTGATGACATCTGACGCATTATGAAATATACAGTCAATATCAAGAAAAATAATAATTCTTGGGAACGTGGAAATCGTGAGTTGCAAATGTGCAATCTTTCACGTAACTGCGTCACCCACAAATATTTTATCGCCTCATCATTTTTAAATGTCTTCTTGATAAACAGATAAGAGAAATTGCTCTCGGACAGTCAATGACCATAAGTGGGTACTCGTTGAAATAAATTAGATTACACTGACAACAAGTTTTTAATAAATCCCCGTAGCTTCCTGCGTCGTTCAGGTTTACCTTGGTCGTTCAGTGCTAACAGCGGTGGTTGAAAATTTGTTGCCCGCTGATCAAATCGCGCCCCGACGTTAATTTTGAAAGAGCGGGTACACATAGTCGCGCTTAAATTCAAGTTTATGCGATTGAAATATGTATGCGTAATATGGACACTCGCATTAACAAACGATAAAACGGAGGGACGTTTGCGGGAAGCCATATTTTCCGATGAAACATAATATGCGTTATTTATCGCACAATCAATATTTTCCAATTTCGTCGTCGGTTGACGAACAAACATCTTTATTAATTTCAGCTTTCGTTCGGTAATAATTAATTTTATATGTGCTCAAATATTTCTACGGCCGAGGAGTTAGCGGTAATAAACGAAACGGTCCATAATCTGTTAATTACTACGCGAAGAATTAGACGGACAATGCGCGTTGTAAATTGAATTTTTAATTAGATAAGTCTCGCACGGCGGATGAATATGCATGTTACAATATGCAGATGAATTAGTAATAAATGCAAAATATTGTGCGTGCACAATAAACGTCCATTTACTACATCTACTTTGTAACGTAAAAGAATCGGAGTACATTATTGTTTCACATAAGTCAATAAATTTCTAAGAGTTGAAATGATGATTTTATTAAAACTATGATCTGACGTCGAGGTGATGTAAAATCATTGGGACTGGAAGAAATGTTCATCATACTTATATTTTATGGCTGTGAAACGCATCGAACCTCTGCTGTGTTCTGGACAGAATAATTATTAAATTTTTGTAGAGTATTTGCTGGATCCGCTGAACCGTGCGTAATAGGAGTAATGTTTCAATTTCGCCGTACATTTTGTATTGCCGAATATAACAGTTAAAAACGAATGTAATGGCGAATTTTCATGAACTATACGCAATACGGTGCGGACAGAATTCAACGTGAAATATGAGAAGAAATTGCAATTCACAAACGGTTCTATTATGATTTTCCGTTAGATCTCAACGTAGAAATTCATTTACTTGGTATAATTTACTTCTAAATCAGTAAGTAATTTAATTATCATGTCTGTTTTTTATACTGCACTAAGCAATTTGGTGATCAACTAAAAAGTAATGACATATAATAGCAATCTGTAAATAAAATTGATTTAAAGGCAGTACGTAGTTGATTTGATACTCTCGTCATCGTAAGGTCATAACATTTCCCTGATAAGATTATTAAATAAAAATACACTGCTGTACCCTCTTTTATTTCTTGCAGGAAGACTGGTTTTTCCAAGCAAGTACATAATATCCCCCAGTTATTTTAAACCAGGTACATTTAGAAATCAAATTGTTTGATTTGTACACGAAGAAACGACTTGTTAGATACTTATTAATCAATCATTTACTTGTAGAAATTTTTTATATCAAAACCTATGGCTGGTGTGTCCAGGAAAACAGTGCGAAACGGATTCGGCATGTCGGAAAAACGAGGATAATATAAAACAAAAAGTAAAAAGGGAATAATCGAAGTTTTCACTTGGCTACCCTCGACGAGTAAAGGGACAATATTACCGAATGATTCGGTTTTTCCCCGTTGTTTCTTATTTAACCAAATTAAAGAACAAGAGGGCTTTGTCGGGAGAGATCAATGGAACCCATAAAGCCTGGAATGGTATATGGTCGATGGAATATCGGCGCGGGAAGCAAAATGCACTTGGCCATTTTACAACTTGTCTGCATATAGAAAAACCGGTGGCTCGTACTTTCCGATTGTTAAACAATTTAATGCATATAATCGAAATGAATTATAATCACGTGGAACAGGATTCTACGAATTGTGCTGAGCGGAATTCATAGTTGTAACTCATTTAACATAGCTTATCTTTCCTTTATATTAATATTACTTATTGCACTGTGTGCTTTAATTACACGTCAAATCAACAAATAATTGATATTTTGTTTGTTGACGTGCAATGGATTAAAAAAGTTCCTAACAGAGGATAATTAAGATTAAAAGAACAGATGGAGAAAGCAATATGAATATACTATGTAATAAAGTAACAATTCCAAGTTATCAGTAAACTTTACGTTTCATTGCTTACGTTTGCACGATTTATCTCGCGTGACTGTGACAAAGACAACGAATTTCCTTGGTTTATCGGATTACTTGTAACTTTTATTCACGCCGCGTCGATAGTTTGTATTCAAGCTACGTTATCGATTTGATTATGCTTCTTTTTCCTCGGCTTTTATATTAAAGAAACGCAGTCGGAAGACTACTTTATGGTCGGATATGTAAAGCGCTTTACCGATACTGGATGAATGTTTACAGGCAATGGGAAAGAACAGATAAATACACATTTAGTTTCCGAGAATGAACAGTATCACGTACTTTCCATATCCGATAAATTCGTCACTTTTCCATTGTGTCTGTCTTAAGTACTTTCAACATGATGGAATAAAATATTCTCGTACACGAATGCAATGGTNTTTTAAGTCACTATAATTTTTCAAAAAAACCCATGAATTGATTTAAAATTTTGAAGATAGCTTTTTAATAATAATTGGAATGTATAATAACACATTCAACATGCTACCATTATTTAAGTATATAGCCTATACATCCTTAAACAGCCATAAAAGTAATCTGTTTTTTAATTAAACATCATTAGAATCATATTGTTGATACATGCAGTTAGCTACTTGTTTTTGGTGCTCATTGTAAAACAGAATACTATGAATTCTTATAAACGTAAAATTCACATTACGTGCACGTACATTTTGAATAGTGACCTCGAGTAGATACAAAACTGCTTTATTATTTTTTTGACGATCGTTCGACGAAGTATGAAGCTGATTTAATTCCGCGTAGCGTACGTAACAAAGAGCAATACCGCGTATATGTTCCCTAAACGTAATCAAACGCAAATCACGTGTGCAGTAAGTATAACATTTCTCGTAATTACCTCCTGCACTTTTCCAGCCGCGCACTGACACATGTGTTCTGGGTTGTGTAGACGAACCGCGACATGACGCGACCTCGTGGTAGTATAAAAGCGTAGTATACATCAAGCACTGGAATCAGTGTTAAGAAAGCAACGTCTCGAACAACTCTGGTGAGTAAACTTCGTGTGTTCATTCAAAGGCGTCTCCGTCTTACGAACTGACTTCGTACGACTGGCACAAATTTAGTTTTAAGTATAATTATATAAAAAAAAGTGCTGGGAATAAATTGATTCTTGCCACATCAATTTTATTGTGAAAATATTCGAACCGAAAGGAACATAGAGAGTGAGATACCAAGTGACAGCTGTATATTTTAATTATATTAAAGATAGAAAATGTTTAATTGTTTTAAGTGAACTCTACTTAACACGTCGATTTGGACTCGTCGAATGAACTTTGAACATCTATTATCGCGTTATCGTTATCATTTTACTGCATTACTGATCTTGTTAGCGTCAAACTCTCGGGACTTTTCTTTTTTGCATTCAACTTCGCCTCACTGAGTGTATCATTGGATTTAAAAGAATCATTAAATTAGAACTGTTTCGAGGAATAGTACTGTTCGATGTTTAAAAATAGATCTGTGACTAATCTGTTACGCAGGTACGGGCAAAACCGGAAGATCCCATTAAAAATTATTATTCAAAAATAATCAACTCGTAAGTCATGAATGAATTTATTTAACGGTACGAAATGGTGTAGTTGTCACCATCCATTTGCATATTTTATGAGACGTCAAAGAACGTGACAAAAAAGATAGTGTGTCAAACACTCGACGAAGTAGATTGATGCTGTTCATGGTCGGCCGTGCCGCTTTGTGTGCTGTGTATTCAAGAACGAGTCAGATCAGTAGTTAATGACTCATTCACGAACACCTGTATGCGTTCTCCCCGTGCAAACCTTGTACGTCCGCGAGTGTTTGTTAGTTTGCGTAATGAGCTGGAATTTCATGAATTCGAACCAGACGAGATATAATTGCGTTAAGAATTGTTCTCTTTCGTGTTACTTTTTCATTCCCGTGGAATCCTTCATAAAATCCGTGCGTCGATTTTTATGAAACAATTAACAACAAAACACTTCCTCGAAATATAAACTAAACAAGGAATTAATGAAGTAAATTATTCAAATTAAATCAAACTACCTTATTAAAATTTGACCTAATAATTAAACATTTTTTTGTTTCAAGGTAATAAACACATTTCAAAATGTCCAAGTTTATACTTCTCCTTTGCGTTGTGCTGTTGGCTACAACTATTATCCATGCTGCTCCCGAATCTTGCGGCCGTCACGGTGACTCTGTAAGTAAAAACTACATTTCCACGATTATATTAATTGAAGAAAGTGGACAGTTTTATAAAAATCTTAAACCTATTGCTTTCTCTTATACTCACGTTACATGAACCAAACCAATCGAACGACACTTGTCATTTTGCCAAGCGTTTTCTGTTCGCTCGTGGAAAGTCTGATACTTGAAAAGTACACGTGAAAGTTGTAACGTGTTCGCGTGAACCTGTTTCGTTAGCGAGAGACCCGAGGACGATGACGTCCTAAAATAGAATTTTAAAGCAGCGGACGTACATAATATGGGACCATCAACGTTGCGCAACGACATTCGACTGATAAATTCACTGACGCTAATAAATTTATTTCTTCATTTCAGTGCGTCAGTAGCACGCAGTGCTGCAAAGGAATGAGGTGTCACACCTACGCTGGTAGATGCCAAGTGATAATCACCGAGGAGGACCTGATGCGTCAACGAGAAAAGATCTTGGGTAGAAAAGGAAAAGATTATTAATCGGTCAACGAACTCAGAACCTCTTCAAGTGGACAAACCGTTAAGATTGATAATACAGGAAGAAGCCACGTTATCACGTTGTGAAACTAATATCTATAAATCCAGAAAAGTGTGACTCATCAGTTGTAAATATGGAACAATGGAACAATAAAGAGAACAAAATCGGAAGTGAATAATATAGTGATTAATTTTTCTTAAACATGGAAATATCGAAATTATTCAGGTTTTAGCTGCGTTTTATATGAATCTGAGTCAGACATGATAATTGTGTTGAGTAATGTTTTCTTTTATATTTGTGCAACGCATCATATCAGCTTTAAAAAGAAGATAAGGCACTCTCTGTTGTGACTCTCATGAAAGTGACTACTGGTTTCAATTAAACATAAGATTTCATTACCAGTTTAGTAGTCTTTATAAATTTGAAAAAAAAGCATTTACACTACTGTTTCTTTTTTCATTCTCAATTTTCAAATGTAGAAGACTAGACTCAGATATGTAGACGCAGTCTCACATAGGAACAAGTTCACGCGCTACTGGGATTTCCATTGCGCGGAGAGAGGTCACGATTACTAGGTTCACGATTATTATTATCAGCTCGTACGAGATTATTGCGTTTCATTTTAGAGGCAGACACGCCGCGCGGCTCGCACAATAATATCAGCGTCAGTGGCTGCTACAAAAATGTCGTCGTTACGAAATGAAATTGCGCCGATTCGACGCGAAAACGAGCTCGACCAATGCGACGCGTGCACCCGGTTACTTGGAAGATAAACATTTTTAGAAAATTACAACGCGATCAGACGTGTAATTGCACGGTGCTGGAAAATCGAATTATGTTCGATCGCGTATAACGTACCTCTTGTATACATCGAACTCTTATCACCCTCGAATTGTTATATGAACATTATCTCCGCGCATATCAAGAGAGCCAGTATCAGTTTTTAAAGAAAAACTCTGACGATTCTAGATGCAATAATACTTATCGGTATCGAAAATTTACTTTTGGAAACGTAATCTAGTTGAATAAAACTGTTGCGAGATGGACAGGTGCGCGACAGAGTGAAGGGTCTGGTTTAATCTCCTCGACTTATCATTCGATAAACTTGTGACTGAACCGACCATATGTGACTCAATTGAAATCACTCATGAGATACTGCGTTCTTCGACACACAATCGGTTATTGTCAGTGTTCTAAGGATAAACGATTCTTTAAGGAAATTAATTATTTTATTAGAACAGAATATCGATTCCTTCTTAATAAACTGTCATTTCAATCATATCACTTTCAGTGAGCTATATTCATGAAATGATTTTCGAACGCAAGTGAAATTTCAAATTAGTAATTTTGTTATGATAATTTAATTACAGTAGAACTCGCTTGAAAGTCGGAAGCGTTAAGCTGATTATTTGTTATAGAAAGAGTTCACCGCTCTGTCCATTAAGGGTCATCCCAATTTCGAAAAGTAGACGTACTTTGATTTCAAGACTGAAAGCTTCTTGCGTTCATTAAACGATATTTCTGTCGTGTTTCAATCTCATTAGTTTCAGCTTAGAGTTAAGCGCCTCAACTCTTTTACGGCGGACCGCTTCCGGTTCTTTGACCATCGCCAGCCTCTGCAAAGTTCTTTTTAACAGGTAGTCAGAAATTATACGTCCGATAGGGAAAAAACAAAAAATATGAAGAGCGCGCATGAGAAACGAGGCAATGGTAAATACGTAATTTGCAGTTTCAAATTTGTTCGTGTTCGGGAAACTTTTTATTCCGCTCGTTGAATTCACTTTCACCCGTATTAATCGCAGTGAAATCGAATACTGGTTATCGCGACGCGAATAAGAAAGTCTGGATTGGCGGAAATCGGATAGGTTTAATAAAATTCGATCAAACCTCTGTGATCTAAATTTTCTTTTATGATACAAAATTATATTAATACGTTTTTTAAAACACGATGTTTAAACAAATTAATATGAATAATTTATATGCACATGAGTGTTTGACTTTTATTTTCCCGAATCTCGTTTCACATAAAACTGATAAGATGGAAAAAATCCTATCTAGTAGAAGGTAAAGGCGTCATCGATCAAATATTTGTTGAATGTACCTTATCATGTTCCAGCTTAATTGCCATATGTTATACTCTCATACTTTATGATATACCTTCTGTCTTAGGCGTGCCTCTATAAAATGTTCGATTTCCACGAAATTCTGTATCACATAAATATTAAATGCTATCTAAATTAATCATCCTTTAAATTTTTATGTCAGCACTTTTATCACAAATACATTTTTATAAATACATAATTGATTTTCATTATTATTTTGTGACTAGATTATTAAAAAGAATTAATTCCTTTATATTTCCACATCAATTAAAAGAATCCAGAAATTATTTCAGAAATTTCGTTCATTAATTGTTTGATCTGTGAAACTGCACCATTAGTGTGACGACAATCGGACTTTAAAGATCGTCGCTTCGCAACCTCGAGGTGGTTGGTTCGCCACGCAAAGCGCGGAGAAATTGTCCTGACTTCGCGAGTAGTCGTCGAGGGATGTAAACAGCCCCGAAAAATCGTCGGTTCGCGAGCAAAGGACAGACGTATCGGGCGAGTCGTCGGGAGAACGAGACTGAACACAACGGTTGGTGAGCCGAACGGAGACAAACGGTGAGCGGAGGAAAACACTCGAGAGCCGAGTCGAGTGTCCCTTTTCGTGGTTCCTTTCAAGTTCTCTTCCGGGGAGGCGAGCCGAGTCCTCCACTGCTTTTAAGCTCGTTCTCGCTTGGAAGGCCTGCCGGGCGAGAAGCTGCTCGGATGCCAAGAGACACGTTTTGGCTTGGCAATGCCGTACTACCTAGCGCTCGCCCGCTCGTGCACCGGACGTGCCAAGAACAGCTCAGGGTACATACGTACGTACCACCAGGGTGGGAAAACGTCGAAAGGACTTAAGTCCGGGAAGAATCGGCGAGGCTGCGGCGCAGCGGGAACGAGTCTCCATCGGGTGAACGAAGAAGGAGGCAAGGGGATAACGCGGGGCGCTGGCACACGCCACAATATGAAAACATTAACGGAGGTAAGCCGGAAGGCATACAGCAATGTGCTGAGCTTAGGCTCTCGCGAGCCTCTGTGCCGCGAGGCTCTCGCTCTGTCGGCGCAGTGCCACGTCAGGACGTCAGGATTTCACAGGCGACCCGGCCACAGGCACCAGCCAGCTCGTTCTACTCGCTCGCGGATTCGCGTACCCGAAAATCGCTCTCAGGCCAGCGCGGAGGGTTGGAAGGACAGGGTGCAAGGAGGCACGCGAATCCGGCGGCGATCGCGCCGCGACCCGAAACGCTGACAAATCTGACGCTGCGCGCTTTTTCGCCCAAATTGTTTCCTTAAACTCGGCGAACGACCGACTGGTCCGCGCGCGCAAATTCCGGGATAATCGAGGTTTCGCGTTTGTTTGCGTCGCTCGCGACTCGGATTCCGCCGCGCCGCGCCGTAAGTCGCGATCTAACCGCTGCCAATCGTCGCTCGGAACTTTCGATGACGGATTACCGCTTTCCCGTAGGTTTTCGGTGATCTGTCAAATTGAGATTATCATTTCAAACCGTAGGTTTTGTTTAGAGAACTCTGTTGATTTATTACTGAAAATAGTAACTATTTGTTTTTTAATTATTAAACAAATAATAGAAAAACTTTATTGATGAAAAGACGAGGTATGATACTAACGTCTTCGTGAATCGTACGGAGCGATCTGCTTGCGGCAGACACCGACGTACATTAGTGATTTCCCCCGTTATCGTATCTCGATCTGATGTTCGCGAACAAAGGGGTTGGCTAGGAAGTGCGCGGTAGGCCTCGGCAATAGTCGTGCGTCCGTGAGAGACCAGCGCGGCGATAGTAGAGCGAGCATAGCGGGTACATGGTCGACAGTACAAATACCTAGAGCTACTTAGAGAAGAGGGAAATGGGACTAGCCATTTAGGGCAAACTATCCCCGAGTTGGCTCACGCGACCGATCTTATCGTCCAGCCAAGCCGGTTCCCGGCTAGAACGCGTGTCTACGTGGCGTACATACACAGCGTGGCTATCTTCCTGCAGAATTGATTTCTTGCATTCGTTATTTCCCTGAGACCTGGCCCCGTGTCATTAGCGAGATCTCTTTTCCATCGTCGCGATTATACACGTTAAGATAATCCCTGTTTAACGTGACGTTATGCGGTCTTTGTACGTGCTTCGAGAAATATGTATTATTACAATCTTTATACCTTTGATACATAATTTTTTCTGTACATGAATCAATAAAAAGTATCATTTTGTAATATGTTGTTCATTCAGATTTATTGAAATTTTCAATACATTTATTATAAAATTATATTAAGCGTTAAGTCCTATTTTAGTTACATAAATATCATTCGTCAAATTCTATTTGTCGCAACGGTCGCCTCACTGATCAGAATCCTATAGAATACCAATAGGACACATGTTGATTCGTAAGAGATTCCTGCAATGGCCCGCGGAATCTCGTGCCCCTGTCATTCACGGTACGCGCGTCACGTTTCCGTATTCCAAGATCTCGATCGAAATTCGTCCCCCGGATTGGAATACCTTCGAGGCTGTAACACTCGCATAGTGGACACCTTGGATTCTCCTAGAATCCCACGGATTAGATGTGCACCTATATGGACTCCATCTTCGTAGTAACTCGTATCGAACTTAACAGTCGGTTAAGTCTCTGCTGTGGCCATTTAACTACTCCGTTATTTAGTCCAGAGGCTACGGAGTTCGAGCCCTGAGCAAGGGGTGAGGTCGCGGAGACTTCCAAGTCTTATCTCGATCTGCATAAATTCATAGTGGGTAGCTTACATCCTTGAACGTAAGGAGACCTAGAAAGACGTCGTTTGCTCTCACCCTCTGTGTTATGCGAGCACCATATAACTGAAGTAGCTGTATAAATTCGAAATTCTTTGAGTTAGGGGAAAATTAATTCTTGTTTTTTGTTCCAAGCTTTCGTTGTATTAATGCTAAGTAAGAAAGAATAATTTATTTTTATGTACACAGATAATGTATCCGGAATAATTCTGCAGAATCTTTTTCACCAAAAGTTTATAACATTTAAGATACGATTCTCTGTGTCACGTTTACAACGTTCGTTCTTTTATGCTGTGATCTTTGACACGATCCATCAAACATG